TCTGAAGATAATTTTTATTCTCTCCTTTAATTTCCTCTGTCTGCTGTTTCCTTCTTTACTGTTCAGAGGTGGGTATAAAAGCCCCAATTATTGTATTACTGTTTATTTGTCTTAAGCTCTTTGTTTTTGCTTCATATATTTAGGGGTTCTGATATTGAGTACATAAGTATTTACATTTCTTACATCTTCTCAGTGGATTCATTTATCATATAATGCCCTTTGTCTCTTATTATAGTCATTCTTAAAGTTTATTTTGCCTGATAAATTGCCTGAAATAGAGCTTCCGTTTTTTTTTTATTTGCTTTTGTTTATGGTTACCATTTGCTTGAAATGCCTTTTCTCATCCCTTTATTCTCAGTCCATGTCTTTTTAAGGCTAGAGTCTCTTGTAGGCAACATATCATTGGGTCTTGTTAGTTCATTTTTTTCCATAGAGCCATTCTTTGTGTTTTGGAGAATTTAATCCATTTAGGTTTAAAGTAATTATTGATAGGTAAGGACTATTATTGCCATTTTGTTGTTTGTTTTCTGGGTGTTTTGCAGATGCATTGTTCATTGTTTCATATCCTCTCATTTTGTGTCTTGATGTCTTTTGGTACAGATATGCTTTGAACTGTGTGCAATGTAGTTTTGAAGTTACCATGAGGCTTACATAAACCATCTGAAAATTGTAACACCCTATCTTAAACTGAAGACTTAAACTTTATGCTTTTCACTCCCCCATTTTTGGTTATTGATACTATAGTTTGCATATCGTTAAATATTTGGTATCCAGTAACAGAATAGTACAGATACAGTTACTTTTACTATGTTTTAAAACTATAAGTTTAAGTGCACTATGTACCACCCTTTCATGTTACAGAATCCAATTTTGATTATATATTTACTATTACCAGTGAGTTTTGTGCTATTTTCTTAGATTTTTCTGATGTTAATTGGATTCTTTTTATTTCCACTTGAAGAACTCCCATTAACATATCTGGTAAGGCAGGTGTAATGGTGATGGACTCCCTTAGCTTTTATTGATTCAGTAAAGTCTTCACGTCTCTACTGCTGACAAACAGCTTAACTGGGTTTAAAATTCTTGGTTGAGTTTTTCTTTCAATACATTGAATATATCATCCCATTCTCTCCTGGCCTGGAACATTTCTTTTGAGAGATTGAGAGTCTTTTGGGAGGTCCCTTGCATGTAACTTTCCTTTGTTTTTTTTTTTTGTTGTTGTTGTTGTTGTTTTTATTTTTGTTTTTGCTAGCTTCAAAATTATTTATCTTTGACCTTTCACAATTTAATGATAATGTGTCTCTTTGCAGCCCTGTTCACACTCAAACTATTTTGGGTCCTTTGGGTCTTATGTATCTGGATTTCTTATTCTCTCCTCCGGTTTTGGGAAGTTTTCCGCTGTTTTTGATTTAAATCTACTTTGTCACTTACTCTTTCTCTTCTCCATATGGAATTCCAAAGAAGTGGATATTGTTTCTTCTGATGGTGTCCTCTTAGTAGTAGGCTTGTGTAATTCGTTCCTCCCCCTGCATAATTTCAAATGTTCTCTCATCTAAATGGTGATTTCTTCTGCATGAGCAAATCTATTTCTGAAGCTCTTTATTGAATTCTTCAGTATAGTCATTATACTTTTCAGCTCTAGGAATTCTATTTGAGTTTTTGTTGTTGATGGTTTCTCTTAGTGGAACTTCTCAGTTTGTGTATGCATTGTTTTTCAAATTTCATTGAGGTGCATATGTATCCTTAGAGTTCACTAAACATTTTTAAAAGGATTATTGTGATTTTTGTTCTATTTATTTTTGAGACAGAGAGACACAGAGCACAAGTGGGAGAGGGGCAGAGAGAGAGGGAGACACAGAATCCGAAACAGGCCCCAGGCTCTGAGCTGTCAGCACAGAGCCTGACATGGGGCTCGAACTCATGAACCATGAGATCACGACCTGAGCCAAAGTTGGATGCTCAACTGCCTGAGCCACCCAGGCGCCCCAAGATTATTCTGATTTTTGATAGCTCTCCATTTCTTTAGGGTCAGTTACTGGAGCTTTGTTTTCTTTGGTGCTTCTTGCTCTCTTATTTTTTAATGATTCTGAATTCTTTATGTCGATATTTGCACTTCTCTACTTCCTCTTCTTCCTCTATTCTTCTTTGCAGATTCGATTAGGCATAGACAGTTCTTCACCCGTAAGGTCAATATGCCTGGAAATATCTGCTAGGAGGATCCTTGGGCTGGTGAGGCTTACTTTCAGGGTCTAATTTGGGTTGAGGCAACTTCCCAAGCTCTGGGCTGGGGTGGAAGGTGTGGTGTGGTTCTGAGAATGGTCGGATTGAACTGATGGTTTGATTCCTTGCCCAAGTGAAGTGGTAGGATGAGCCCCACAATTTGCCTGGGCTCTCTGGTCAGGCATAGTAGATGGCTGGGACTGATACTATACTCAGCAGCTGGGGAGACAATGAATTTGCTTCCATGCCCTGGCAGGGCAGCAGGGCAAGAGCCAGCACATGCAGCATTCATTGACTGGGAACCTGAATCAGGCAAGAGTGTACCATGTATTTCCTGGCCAAACAAGGCCACTGGTTCTGCTCTTTATAAATGCGTAAAGTCATGGGCTATCGGATGGACTACCCGTCTTTCCATGTGCTCTGGCTAGCTTCTCTGGGAAGGCAGGCTGAGGCTTTATTCAGCATTGAGGGAGGCTATGAATTAGTTTTTCTGTCAGAGCACAGTGGGAGAATCAGCTCCATGGTGGGTAAGGCTCCTTATTTATCTAGTCTTGTCTTTAACCATTCTGTGCCTCAGTTCCCTTACCTGAATTAGGATCACTAGCCTTGCTCCACAGACTGTCAGCTCTGCCTTCCAGATTCTCTGTTCAAGCATTGATGTGCTACTTAGCTTTCCAGGTGTTTGAGCCCAGCTTTCTGGTGGTGGGAGTTTTTACTTAATGGTGAGTAGGGTATGAATTAGCTCCTCTGCCTGGGTCACCTGGCATGGGCTACACTCTGTGGGTGCTCAGCTCTGCCTGCCAAGCTCTCTGCACCCGTACTGCCAGGCCCTGTAGTTTCCAGGGGTTCCTGTCGGCCCTGCAGGGTCACATGGGGCTAAGAGGAGTTACGCTCAGCAGAGGGCTGGGCTGTGATTCAGTTCCCCTGGCCGAGTGGGTGCAGACCAGAATGAGTCTGAGTCTGAGTTGCCTGGTCAGACTGTGCCACATACTCAGTTCCGCAGACGAGCAAGACCACCAGTGGGGACGACTGCTTGGTGCTGCAGGTCGGAAGTGGGCTGGCCGAGATGCCGGTGCTGGTTGTTGGAACCCCCTGCTTACCTTCCCGTCATCATCAGATTCGCTGTGGTCAAGTCCTGCATATTCTCCCACACCACCTAGGAATCAAGACTAGAGTAGAGGTTCCCAAGAAGCAAGCCATCATGCTGGGGGAGCTGGATTGTCCACCCGGGGATCTCTGCCCCGTGGAGGGACCAGAGGTTCAGGGAGGATCTCTCTGGGTGGTGCCGTGCCGGCCTGCTGGTGTGCGAACAGCCCAGTACGTCGCTGCTCCTCCTGCCCTTCCCGAGCAGTCCCTCGTCGTCTGTGTGGCGCAGGGGTGCGTCAGCCTCACTCCCTTGTAATTCTCTCTGTGGCATCTTGCCCTTGAGTAGTTGTTTATTGCTCTTCTTAGAGGAACAGTGAACTCAGGAACGACCTGTGCTGCTATCTCGGTGACATCACTCTCTAAAATAACTTAGGACATTAGCAGTGAGTCAGGACTGGTATCTGAGCAGTGGTTCTCAAAGTATGGCCCCTGGAGCAGGACTCAAAATATTAAAATATATTTTGAAAGGTCAGTACCTTGCCTGAAGAGTAGTTAGACAATAAGAACATTTCCGATTCTAATCCTAAAAATGATACTCAGATGTGAGCCTACTGTCTGGATTGTCACATTTGGGAGAGTATTCAGTTATCACAGATACAGTCTCATACCCGCAGGGAAGCTCCAAGTAGCATTTGAAACTAAAATGAAAAAATATGCCAGGACAAAATCTCAAGTTATTGTCTGAACTAAGTTGAATTGGACAAACCTTTGTATGATCAGCTGTGCATTCACTCGGCGAAGCAAATACACAGGATGCTTCAGAGAGGGTTTGCTAACACTCTCCACAGGACTCCCTTCTCTGTAACTCACTTGCTGGGAGGATATTCGTGAAACAGCTGATTCCCCTTCACCCCCCTCTCCTATAAAAAGAAGTTTCTACTGCACTCCCTAAGCAGCAGTGTGCATTCATCACATAACTGTGTCAGTTTCCGGTTTTCTTACTGCTTTAAATTCTTCATAGAGGTTCACATTAAGGAGAATTTCAAAGATTTCCTTTAGGTATAAATTTTTAAATCTTGATATTGGTCTTTGGTCAATTTTTCTTGCCCAAACTTATCCTCCAGTTAATTCTGAAACAGTTTAATTACGTAGGTTCTGAATTGGTGTTTTGCTCCTCTACTGTAAACTATACTGCTTTCCTTTGGCAAACAAAACACCCAAAAGAACATTCCCTTGTCTTTTGTAAAGTATGCCCTTCCCAACCAAATCAAAACAAAAATCTCCGCCCTGAGATCATAGGTTCAGAATAGCAAATAGAGTAACAAGATTGTCAAGGTTGTTGTGTTTTGTTTTGTTTTTTGTTTTGTTTTGAAAGAAGGTATTTGTGGAGGTTAAGGGTAAATTAAGTCTCTAGTCAAGAGATCTCCCCAGGAACGCAGGCCATAACTTCTTGTCCATCACCTCTATCTCCAGAATATCCTCTCCCCTTAATGAGTTCTCTGAACTTGAAATTAGCAATTCTAGTATATCTGAACGTTACCATTGCACTTGGAAGATGCGTTTTAAGTTGCTACCAGGTTAAGAATTCTGGACAGCCGGTAGCTCGTTTAGACAAAGGAATGTAGGTCCTCCTAATAAAACATTAATATAACTAACTAGGCATTTAAAAAAAAATCACTATACAACTCAGGGAAATAAATTGAGGTATTATTTATTTATGACATAGTTACACACTTACAAAACTGTTTTGATCCAATACGTCATCCTGCATAGTATCTTCAGAACGAACATCATATTCCGGGAGTAAAAATCCAAGTTTCTAAATAATTTATATACAACCCAACATCTTTTGGGTCACAAAATATCAATTTGGCTTCAGAAGACACACATACCTGTTTCAGTTTTTTTTGTAGTTCAGGAACAAAGTAAATTCAACTACATAAAGAGTAATTTAGTTGACCCTGAGTATGTCATGGGTCATGCATGCATATAATATTTAAACTTACCATTACACTACCGTTTGGCTATGAATTCAGTCATCTCGATTTTCTACCTCATGAATCCTTAAAATAAAAAGGAACAATGAACAGGGAAGTCGTAAAGAGACCAGCAGGGTAGGGACGAGGACTGCCTGAAGCTCTCCAACTGCAGAAGCCTGTGGCACCACTTTGGGTCTGGGTGACACGACAAGCTTATCAAGGGGAGGCTCTTGAACTGAAGCCTCTGAGAACCTTCTGTCAACTGAGGTTACATGACTCCTCCTGTATTTTTCCTGTTGTCTTTGACACTACGTCATTAAAACAAAGAAGTGAGTGAGCTGCGAAAATTCCCTAAGTAATTCCTGGAGCACTTCAGAAGAAAAACTATCACGACCAGAACAGCAGTGCTAAAGAGCTGTATTAAAGTCAGGTTTTCCTGAGAAGCTTGAGAGACAAAAAAGCAAAGAGCCGCTGGCCTGTGTAAAAAACGGGAACGCTGGGGCCCCTGGGAAATGAGCAGCAAGGGAAATGCACACGGGGCGGCTGGGTGACGGCCACCTGAGTATCTCGCACCAGCACTCACGAGCCGCTGGCTGCAGCTGCCGGGGCGCGAGCAACAACCTGAGTTGGTCTTCCCGCCCCGTGTGCAACAACGAAACCTAACGATGAAAAACGTAACATGAAGTTGGGAAAACGGAGCACGTACAGGCAGCCATGCTCAGATGCCTGTCAACGGCAATTGAAGGCCAAGAAATGAATCAGAGGCCGGAACCAGCTCGTGGGTTTACTTCTCCACGTGCCCGTCCCGAATCCTCCTCAACACTTGCAACCACTCTAAGGAACGGAAGGCTCAGCAAACTGGCGGCTGGCGGGAAGATCACCTGGCCTCAGCCAGGCCGCAGAAGAACTGAGTCATTTCAGGACCATGGGAAACCTGTCATCTGAGGGATGTCCCTTCTGGTGTTTCTTTGAAAACAGCCCTTAAAAATATAAAATATTTGAGACTTGGTAAAATAAAAAGACTGACATTCCTTAGGATCTCTAAAATTCCCTGTGACAGTAGGGAAAGGGGCACAAATACTGTACAGGCTTCCTTCATCCCTACTTGTGTGCTGTTCTCAGGCCACGGCCATGACAAGACAGATAGGTGAGAGTAGCTTTTCAAAAATACAGAAAAAAAGTACATGGTAGAGAAAAGCTCTTTTTTATTAACAAGATGGAGGAAACATGGATAAACTTCCACAAAGAGTAATAACAGGAGAGACAAGTATTCGATCCTATTATGTCACAGCAACTGGTTACAGGTCTTTTCTTTCTCTCATTACTTTTAATGACAAGCCTGAATTTCACCAAACCATAGCTGTGAAATTAATGCTTCTTTCTCATCCTCAGGTAAAAAATAACACAAATGAATTAAGTTCTCAAAATAATACAAAGAAACCAGTACATGCAAGGACAGTGCAGGGTTAAGAGTTCTGACACACTTTGGAAGATTGTGCTAATTCTGGTCCATCTAAAGAACTGTACAGACGAGTAAATAAAAATTAAATAACACTTATGTAAGAAACTATCTTCAAAAAGTTATATGAACTTGCATATATAGAGTCCAAAAGTAGAAGACAAACTATTTAAATTTTGATTTATATAAATTCAAAAACGGTAAAATATATTATTTGGGGGAAAAAGAAGCTTTCACTACATATAAACACAATGGACTAGATAAAACAGACTGGATATTAAATAGTCTCTTTGAAAACTTCGATAAAGAGTAAAGGCAGAATGGCACCAGGTTAGAAAAGCGGTGTTTAAGGCAAACTAAATATTAAGTAACATTAATTAAATTAAGAGGCATACAATTCCATAAATAACAAGGTAATTCCTCTGAACAATTTCTCTACTACATCTGAGAAAATCTGAGTGGAAGGAGAAATCATGGCTGACATCAGAGTTTACTTGGAAATACTGAATACTATTATATGAAAATAACCCAAATGCTTCCAATTTAAAATATACATGGATCACGTGCCACTAGCTGTCATAGCCACGGCAAGCAAAACCGATCACTCCAACATTTCAGAGTATAAATCTGTAAAATGCCAAAACTTACTTAGAAATAAATCCTTTTTATTTTAGACTATGTATGTATGTACATGATAACAGAAACAAAATTATCAATTTCATCATTTTGGCCCATGTAAAAACTAAGCACTGAAATGCGCACCATCTCCCGGCAAAAAGGTGTCTGAGGGTCCACTGGGAGCACAAGGCTCAGCGTATGACCTGAGATCACCTGCACACACAAGCGCCAAAAACTAACAAGAAAGAGATTAATCTTGAAATCAAAGAAACAATGACGTTCTTTAACCAGTCATGTCTTCTTAAACAAGGAAAAAAATCAAGTACGTATCGTTACGTTAAACGTAGTAGGCACATGGATTTGCACCTTATAAATTTGGTATATCAAAGTGTCCTATAAAAATATTTATAGATTTTTTTCAAGAACTGTGACACACGAAATGACAATCACAGAAAGGATCTGTTTCTTTTCATCTACTGGAATGACCCCCTGCCTTTCTAGAAAAGAACCACCACACCCCACGAGCAAACTATCAAGACTGCTGTGTTCCCTGAAGCTGTCCATCTAGGGGAGGTATAAGGTCTAAATACCGCCACGCCCCAAGCGAAGGAGTCGCCGGTGCCCCGGGAGAGCGCTGGCTCACACAGTCCTGGGGGGCAGGCGCTGTCTGTACATGCCCGCAAGGGCTTTGGCTGCACTGTAGATCATCTGTCGCCGAGACATGCCGGTGAACGTCCTGTGCCAGTCAGTCCGGGTGACGTTGACTAAGCTCTTTTCCAGGACTTCACCCACCGTCACCAAAAGGCCTGACCATCTCAGATGGTAGTCTTGGGGAGTAAGACTTTGAGCCTGTGGGAAGAGGAAATTTATAGGATTCATAATGCATTTTAAAAACAATTGGACCTAGCTATAAGAGACATCCCAAAGTCTCTCAGGTTACTTATAACATAGATGACGACAAACCTGAGAAGCTGTGCGAGCCACGATAGGAAGTGGCAAGGCTGCAGAAGAATCTGCCACAATGCTGCCCAGGACTCCTGTGTTTACTGGAGTAAAGTAAAGCTCATTCTCTTATTCAGATGTCATCTTAGTCTTAATCGAACGACTCTGTCTAACAGGGCTCAGTGTTCAAGGGTTTAGGTTTCAGTGCCAGTCAGTGTTGCTCCAGGTTAAGAAGCTGAGAGGTGAGAGTGTGCCTTCCCGCCCTTTTCCAGGCGCTCCCTCAGCAGTGGGCTCTTCAGAACCTTTCTATCATCTGCAATTTTCACTTACGTGTTTCACCGACACAGTGTCTAGCCCATGCGATGTCTAGGTTCTGATGTCTTATCAGCAGGTCTGAGTTTTGCTTTGATGTGTCAGTGCCCTCACCTTCCTAATCCTGACTAGCTAACAAGTTATCACTCTGGTTGTTATTTCTAGCAAAGACACTTCAGTTCTACTGAAATCCTTTTTTCTCCTTCAGTAGGTTTTGAACTGTTGTGAATTGATGAGCTATTGCTTTGAAGCATCAGGCTGTTTCTGGGATAAACCTATCGTGGCTAGGCTAGAATATGTGTGATACTGGGATTTACAGTAAAAAATATGTACATGCTTGATAGCTGAACAATGCAGGGGTTAGGGACAGTGACCACCTGTGGTGTAGTTGAAAACCCACATATTACTTGTGATTCCCCAAAAACTTCACCACTAAATAGCCTACCCCTGGTGTTACAGGATCAACTGAGACTGACCAATCATGCCTATGGAATGAGCTCCATAAAAACCCAGAAGGACAAGGCTGGGAGAGCTTCCAGGCTGGTGCACATGTGGAGATCTAAGAAGAGGGGCGGGCTAGGAGAGGGCATGACAGCTCTGCACCCCTTCCTGGCACCTTGTCCTCTGCATCTCATCCAACTGGTTGTCCCTGACGTGTATCCTTTCGTAAGAGGCAAGCCATCTAGCAAGTCTGCAGGGTTCCTGAGAAGGACGGGGTTGTGAAAACCAATGTGTAGCAGGGGGGTCAGAAGCATAGGTCATAACCTGGACTCTGCCCTGGTGTGTGAGGTCAGGGAGGGGGCAGTCTTATAGGATGAGTCCTTACCCTACAGGATCTGAAACGACCTCCAGGAAGAGAGTGTCGGAATTGAGCTGCAATGTATGATACCAGCTGGTATCCGAGAATTGCCTGGTGGTGTAGACAGACCCCTCCCACACACTAGCAGTGGGTATGAAACCTACATAGTAGGTGTCAGAGGAGTATTTGGGTTGAACAGCCGTGGATGGTGGAAACACGTAGCCTGCCAAAAACAAAGATGAAAAATGAAGGAGGAAGACCCTCTGGTTGCTGGGTGGCCACGTGGTCACCACCTGTATGGAGCAGCATCTGGGATGTACTCAGTTACTAAAGGTCAAGTTACCAATGAAAATTAGAGATGGATCCAACATCCAACCCCTGGGAAGCTGATTTACTGGAAACCCAAAGAAATGCAAACCAAGAACAGAAAGGCAAAACAGTCCCTTGGTGGCTGTTATCTACTACAGCCACCCTCTAAGTAAAAAGAAAATGCTGAGTCTAGCCTTGATGCCGGACCCAACTCCATATGTCTGTCTTCACACTTTTGCCACTAGCCTCAACGTCCCCCTCCAAGGTACAGGTTGTACACGGACAACACAACCTGAGACCTCTGGTCACTAATGAGGTGGTCAACGGAGAGGGAGGACACATCCCTCGTCCCCTTTGCTGGAAACACAAAAGCTTGTGCACATGATAGGTGAAAATGGCCAAGAGCGGAGGAGAGAGGTTTCAAGACCCTGGAGCTGCACTACCAGGCCTACCGAAGCCGTAAGGAGAGCTGCAATTAGAAAGTCAAAATGGAAGAGCTGAAAGGGTTATGGAAGCTGAATTGTTTAAGCAAGTTTTATGTAAAGCTGTCTCCTTGATGTTATGTGCAAATGGTGATCATGTCTGTTTGGGGTATAGGTGCCCCACCTAACCTGTCAATGAGGTTAAAATAGAGTCTACAGTTAGGGTCATGAAAGTACAGATTAAAGTACAAATGTGAAAGGAAAGAGGTTTGAAGACGCTTTATGTGAAGTGGGTTTTTTTTGGGTTTTTTTTTTTTAACTGATTGCATTTTGGGGATGGACACTGTAATCTCCCTGGCGAGGGCTTCCCCAGCCTAGTGAAGGGATGTAAATTCGCCCTTCAGGTATCACTAATTGACCCTGCTGTACAGTAACCAGTAGGGCTGAGCCCACACGCTGTGAGGCACAAGCTGTGAGCTGGCACGGACACTCTGTGCCACAGCCCGATTTGGAGCTCAGACTGAGGCTTACGGCAAAAATCAGAGTGCCATTCAGCGCCAGCTCCTGGGACTCTGGAGCAGAGGGTTTCCATTTGAGGGGCATTTACTACCTTGCCACCAGACCCTATTAGTTAAAGCTGCTGCATTCACTGAAGGACACAGAGTGACTGTGAAATGTGAAATGTGTAGAACATCTAGGAGAGGTTGCAGAATGCCTTAGGAAGACAGCAGTGCCCAGGACAGACCCCTAAGAGGGAAATGATTTACATACAGGATCATGATGCCCAGGGAGACCGTCTTTACCAGGGCCCCTCTTTTCCTCTAGGACTCATTTTGGAGCCATGGGAAAAGCTGTGAGAACCAAATACCATGTCGACTGTGCCCTATGAACAACTCTCAACTGAAGAGCAAAGAGCCAGCTGCTGGGTTTGCGGAGGGCAGTTCCACAGGTGAGCGGACCACAGACTATCTGGAAGGCCGTCGCTCTGATGAAGAAGGTGAAAACCAATCAACTCTATGGGCTGAAATGCACATTATTTTCTCAGTGTCATAGGGGTTTTTACCAGTGTTTTTTTTTTCCTGTTTCGGATTTTACTGACTCAGGGCCGTAGCCAATGGTCTGACCATGTGGCCGGGCAGGAAGGCACAGTGGATATGTGATCTATTAAAAGGACGCGTGTGTGGGGCACAGCCCTATGGGAACCACTCTGGGAATCTGAAGGGTGCAGTGAAGTAGGACATGATCCCATCAGAACTTCCTTCCAGGTCTAGAAGGTGAGTGGGATGAACAAGCAGATATCCCTGCTTTAGACGGCTCCCTGGGTCCACAAAATGAGTGGGTAAGTACAGAGGCAGGCTGAGTCTAGACACGGTCCTGCATTCTGAGGCGTAAAATGCCAATATGAACTGCCTCCCCCCTCCCCTGCCCCCAGGGAGAAAGCATGCAAATAGTTATGCAGCACCTTCCCCGCTGGGAAGACCATAAACAGAGGACAAGGGAGACAGATGGTGACAGCTCTGGAGGCTACAAATGGGCCTTGCCAGGAATGACACTGACTCTGGACTGAGCTTTCCTCCTCAGGGGTAGGTGCAAATGCTCAGACACTATAACAGAGCACGAGCAGAAGGGACTGCACCACTGTGGACAGCTGAGCACCGTCTCTACAGAGCAAGGGACACACCTGAAAGCCCGTGTCCAGCAATGGACGTGACAGAGAGAAATCTCCTCCTTAGAGAACTAGTTTGATGCAGAATCAAATGGGCAACGGAAACAGAGGGTGTCTGAAAAGGTGTGGATGCAGGCATGAAGGTTCGGACTGACGTGAGTGGGATGACACAGATGAAAGGCTGTTTTCCTGTGGACCTGGGGCAGGGGGCAGACGGGGATGATGGTCTGACCCTGCAATTCTGGCAAAGAGAGGGCAACGCTGGTATAGTGACTTTTTCGTTCTTCCTCAGACCACTTCCACTTTTCATCCCCTTCTGATGTTGCAAATACGGAGTGGAAACAGGGATGACTCCTAAGCAAGAAACGCTAGGTACGCTTTTAAACTTAACGTTACAAAGTCCCTAAGGACCTACGTGGCAGGATGTGCCTGCACGGTCCGTGGCAAAGCTGGGGACAGTGAGTGTAACTACACGCACAGGGGGTAGTGACAGCCCACCACAGGCATGTGTCCCTTTGTTGCACCACGCTTTGCCGATACTGCAGTTTTCAAAAATGGAAGGTGTGTGGCCACGGTGAACACGTGTATTGGTGCCATTTTAACAACAGCATTTTTCATTTTGTGGCCTAACTAGGTAATTCTCACTATGTTTCAAGCTTTTTCATTATTTGTTAGTGATCTGTGATCAATACCTAAAATTTGCTCGATGCCCAAATGAATTTTTTAGCAATAATATATATTTTTAATTGAGGTATAAATGTTTTTTAAACATAATGCTATTACACATTCAGCAGTATAGCATAAACATAACTTCCATGTGCACTGAAAAACCAAAAAACACACGTGACACACTTTATCGCAGTGATCTGGAAGCAAACCCACAAGATCTCTGGACTTCTGTAACCTCACCTTGTCCGAATACAAGTGGACTGAGTGCGGATGGATGTACTAGCTGCTTCCAATGCATGCCAGCAGAGGCTAAAACTAATGTCCCTGGACCAAGGGAGAAAAGTGAGTATAAAATGGAAAACAGGATAAATGGTAGCTATGGATAAAGGAACGAATTAATGGGTTGTACAAGGAGGGAAGCCAAACGTTATGCTAACCCCCCAAACGATGCCAGGGCAAGAGATAACAGGGGCTGTGAGCTCCCTTCTAGGGCAGGTCTGGAAGGGTAAAGCTACCACACCTGGTTTAGGAAGCCAACAGAACAGAAGGATGCAAACCCGAGTGGCCTCTCCCTGTGCTCCTAACATCCTTGTAAATTTTTTTTTTTACTTTATTTCTGAGAGAGAGAGAGAGAGAATCTGAAGCAGTCTCCAGGCTCTGAGCTGTCAGCACAGAGACTGACACGGGGCTCAAACCCACAAACCATGGGATCATGACCTGAGCCGAAGTCAGACGCTTAACTCACTAAGCCATCCAGGCGCCCCTGTAATTTCTTAAGGATAGAGAACCATAAAGATGTCTTTTGTTAATGAGGTGATTTTTTTTTGAAAGTCCAAACCTGCGGACTTTGTAACATGCCTATGAAACACAGTCTCCATAAAACCCCCAAAGGATGGGGTTGAAGAACTTCTGACTCAACATGACAGAGCTGGAAAAGTGGAGGGTTCAGATGGCAGGGAACCTCTGTCCCCTGCCCCATTCCTTGTCCTGCTCATCTCTTCCATCTAGCCATTCTGGAGTTACATCCTTTTATAATAAATTCATAAAGGAGTAAGTGGGTTTCCTGAGTTCTAGAAACCTTTTAGAAAAGATGAACAAACTAAAAAGGAAGATAAAGACAAAAGACAGGATAGTAATAAGGGAACCAAAATGGTAGATAAAGGGAAAGTAAATGAAAAGTGCATCTAAAACCAGAACTGGTAACTCGTTTTCCTCCTATTAACAGTGAGCACAGCACAATCATAAAAACAAGAGAGGAAAACAGTGATTAAGGCTGTGAAGTATTATCTTTTCAAAGACGGGGGGAAAACAAGGAAGAAGGTACTCAAACAACCTGAAACAAATTGGAAACTGGAAAGCTTAAAAAGGGAAAGAATTAAAATCAAAAATGTATATCCAGTGAAAAATCTAACTAAAGCTTTTACTGTGAACAGACAGTATTTCAAGTTTCTCTGAAGTATAATGACAAAGGAGAAAACTAACCTGTTGTACAAATTCCAAAGGCACTGGTGTGGCCTGGGTAAATGTTTCTAGATGAATGCCGTGGGCGGGATCTTCAACTATCAAGCAGCCAATGTCAAACCACCTAGGATGGGATGGAGGAGGATTAAGTTGTTGACGTGCCCAAAAAAGTTAAGGTGAACAGACAAAACCAACCCAAAAAACTATTATCATTCAGAGAAAACATGACCAGAGTTGAAATGTTTTTCTAATCAATTTTGAAGAAAACAATCCATAAGAATATATAAAATTACCTATTACCTTAATTCCAAGAGGAGGCAGGACAAAAACGAGAAATAACGACAACAAAGAAAAAGTAACTGGGAAGTATCCATGTCAAGCTTCTTATACTGCTACGACTGAGGCAGAAGAATGGGGACGGCAGTATTCATATCAGCAACAGACAGTTATTCACTTGAATGTGCAAATACATTACCTGATGAGTAACATTTTTAAAATGTCACTTGCTAAAATAGGAGAAATTTTATATTACCTTCTCTATTGTTAATACGTAGCTGACTTGAAAAGTTAATAGCAAATTAAATAAGCTCATTCAGAGGACATACCAAATCTCCTCCTCCTCCTTGATAATCAGTCTTTGAAAACATTCATGAAATCAAGAAAACTCTCTTCTATTTAAAGTTACTCATAAATTATAAGAACACATTTTATAATTGCCTTAAGTCATCTGTAACACCACCAGCATTTTAGATAACTAGAATTATGCAACCACCAGATGCCATGAAATCATAAGCCTGAATAACAAGAGGATAGAGCATATATATATATATATATATATATATATATATATGCTATTTTTTAAAATATGTAGATCTAATAAAGTGTGATGAAATAGAAAACGAATTAGATAACTTCTACTTACATATTCAAAGAAACAGAATGGGATGTCTGTAGCATTCATATCCTAAAATTTGGTTTCAAAATAACATTAAATTATGCTATTTAGTTTATTTCGTATACTAATTAGTAACTTGGAGTCTCACGGAAGGTAAAAGTTCCTTCTGTGATGCTGGTGAAGGTGCGATAAAAGAACTGCAAGGTCCTCTTTGTCACCTAAAATTCCATCACGCTTTTGACCACGTCAACAGGGACATCCTGTTCTCTTCAATTCCGCTAAAACTGCCACCATTGTCACAGCCTTGGAAACCCCTTCCATTTCTTTCAAGAGTGCCGCTGGCCAGAGAAACACTGGGTCCTCCTCTCCTAAATACTGTCCTTCAACTCCAAGGACACTCCCCACCCCACATTCAGGGCCAAACACTGAGGGCCCTTTCCATCCCTTCCTTACCCTCTCCAGGGAGCTGCCGAAGTAACACAGGCTTGACCAATCTCCTGTGGCTGCCACCTTGATTAAAAAAGAGCTCAATAAGAGCTGTGAATGGTTCCAAGACACTTGAATACCATTTACCAGCAAAAATCTCAAAATGGAATGTGGGAACTGCCACTTTGTATTTTACAAAGACAGACCATCTACCACCACCAGTCAATTCACACCAAAGACATTTTAATACATTTAATATACAACCCAACATTTTGCAACTTTACAGGTTAATCTCTGAATAAGGACAGTTCATGCTTACACAGGCTTTTGTCCAGGTATGGTACACATCATGTTAGGTTTCCTCACATAACATGAACTGATGTAAAATTCACCAGAGAAGTCAGTCCACACTGGCTCTACTCTTTGTTAGGGCTAAACGCATTTGGGCTGTTGATCAGCTGTGCATTTGTTTCATACAGGACCATGGCAGACAGAAAGCACGAACCGTGAAGTGGTTTGCAATCCTAGGTTTGCTCTCTATTCACATGTTCTTCCTCTCTGCTCCTCTGCACTTCCCTATCACAGCCTTTCCATCCCCTCCTCTTTAATCCACACTACAAACCAACAACAGATTTCCTAATACGACAGTTTTTCAGTGAACAACATGGACATGAGGCTCAAACTTGCTAACTACGGTATCATGACCTGAACTGAAGTCGGACACCGAAGTCGGCAACATGGGTTGCCATGACCCCCTAATGCAGTCAAAATCTCACTTCTGACTCTCCAAAAACATATAATAGCCTCCTGTTGGCCAAAAGTCAGTCAATAACAGTATATTAATACAAGTTTTGTAGGTTTTATACATACCACCTACTATATTCTTGCAATCAAGTGAGCTAGAGGAAAAAAACATTAAGAAAATCATCAGGAAGAGGGGTGCCTCAGTGGCTCAGTTACATGTCCGACTTCGGTTCAGGTCATGATACCATAGTTTGCAAGTTTGAGCCTCATATCTCTGCCCCTCCCCTGCTTGTGCTCTCTCTCTCTCAAAAATAAACAATTAGTAGGAAGAGAAAAATACATTTATAGTACTGCGTTCTATCAGAGAAAAATCTGTATAAGCAGATTTGTGTGGTTCCAATATATGTGTTTCAAGAGACAGCTGTTTTTTCTATCCCCTAATCTTCCTCAATGCTCCTGTACTGGTCAAAAGGTAACTGGTAGGAAAAATGCCACAGCTAGCTATGATCTAGCTATGCTAAAGAGCTCTAAATGCCTCTATCTAGCTAAGCTAAAGAGCTCTAAAAGCGAGGAGGACAAAATGGAATAACATTCTGGATGGGAAAAGCTTTCAGAGTGAGGTGAAGACTAAGTCCCCAGCATCTTTCAAGAACTGGGGAAGTTGTTTGTTTGAATTTTTTCTGGGGTTGGAGGTGCTCAGGAAGACCACTGTTTATGTTCTCCCGCCACTGTGACAATGCAGACAAGCTGGCCTGCCACCTCAGTGAGGCCTGACCCCTAGGACACACACACACACCAGCTTAAGCCATCTCACCAGGGTGGTGTCAGCATGGTATACACCGAGACATTCCAAGGCTCCAAACACATCTACACAGGCCACACCTTCAAGACTGAGAGAGGTTAGGTGTTTACCTAAATTGGAAACTCATATGCTTTGAACAAGAAAAAAACTTAACAAAAAAAACCCTAAACAGAATTATACAATCTAACAGATAAAGATTCAAAGTACTGGTCCTAAAAATGCTCACTGGACTGGAGAAGAGTGCATAAACTCTGAAAACATAAAAGAGAACTAATCAGAGTTGAATATAATAATTGAAACGACAAACAGACTAGAAAGAAGAACAGAGCGGTGATCTGGAAGAGAGGGTATCATAAAGCAAAGAGGCTAAAGAGCAGAAAGAAAAAGAAATGAAGATGAGTAAAACGGATCTCTGGGATAATGTTAAGCATACTAACACCCCTGCTGTAGGGGTTCCAGAAGAGAGAAAGGAGCAAAAAACCCTTACCTGTGGAAAGAAGAAGATATTGAAGTCCAAGAATCATAGCCCAAAATAAGATGAACCCAAGGAGGTCCATGTCAAGAAACATAAATGTCAAAAATTAATGATAGAAAATACTAAAGACATCAAGAGGTAAGAAACTAGTTACACACAAGGGAAACCCCCTAAAGCTCTCAGATTTCTCAACACAAACTTGCAGAAAAGAAGGAAGTGGCATGATATAATCCAAGTGGAAGAAGAAAAAAAGCCTATAATCACAAATATTCTACCTGGCAAGGGTAACAGTCACCACTAAAAGAGATAAGTAGGTTAACTGCCGCTAAACCAGGCTTGTAAGAAATTTCAAAAGGCCTTTTCTAAGAAGAAAAGCAAAGGCCACAGAGGTAAAACTAAAAGGAAAAAAAATTTACAGGTAAAAGCACACACACAGTAAAGTGAGTATATCAATCACTTAGACAGCTATTGCAAAGGTTAAAAGGCTAAAGTAATAAATCAATTATAATTACAATAATTAAGGGATTTATAAAAAGATGTAAAATAAGACATCATATAAAGAAAGGGTGAAGGGTAAGATGCGGTTTTTCTGAATGTGTGTAAGAGATCATTAACAGACTGCTATATACTTAAGATGTTTGTTATACAGAAATCTCATGGTAACCACAAACCCAAAACTTCTAAAAGATAAAAAAATAAAGCTACACCTAACATTACAGAAAGTCATCAGTCACAATGAAAGAACAAGAGACACAACACATAAAATAACGTCTAAATGCTTTAATCAAAAGATACAGGGTGACTGTATAAAAAACAAGACTCATCTATATGTGGCCTAAAGGAGATTCAATTCACACCTAAAGACACATACAGACTTTTAAGTGAAGGGATGGAAAAAAACCTTGGACACAAATGGACGTGAAAGGACCCCCAAAAAACTGGGGGAATAATACATCAAACCAGACTTTAAAACAGACTGTACCGAGAGACAAAGAAGGACATTACATGATAATAAAGGGATCAATCGAACGAGAAACTATAATGGTAAATATAGATGAACCCAATAATGGAATATCTAAGGCAAAATTAGCAGATACAGAGGAAGAAATTGACAGTAAAACAGTAACATTAAAGAACTTTTCCACCCCACTTGTATCAACGGATAGATGGCCCAGATAGAAAATCAGTAACGAAATGGTGGCTTTCAACAAGACATCACACCAGACGGGCTTAACCATTCTACATAGAACATTCCTTCCAAAACGAGGTGAAGACATTCTTTTCAAGAACACATGGAATGTTCTCTAGGGTCACTTACAAATACCTCAAAAATGATAAAATAGTTAGGAACATATTTAACCAAGGTGAAAAAAGTCTACTCCGAAAACTGTGTAACACTGCTAAAATAAAAACGTCCATAGTATCCAAAGCAATCAACAGACTCAATGCAATCTCTATCAAAATTGCCATGGCATTTTTCACAGAAATTGAACAAGAACCTAAACAGACAAAGCAATTCTGAGAAAGGAGCAGCATCACACGCCCCAATTTCAAACTGTATTTCAAACAATATACATTACCAAGCTACATTCATCCAAACAGTATGGTACTGACATAATCAGACACAGAGCAATCCAACAAAAGAGAGAGCTGACGAATAAACCTACACACACACAATTAATTTACAACAAAAGAGCCAAGAATATACAATGGGGAAAGGGGAGTCTGTATGATAAAAGGTGTTGTGGAAACTGAACTACTTACACCATACACAAAAACTAACTCAAATGGATTTAAGACTTGAATTTAAGAACTAAAGCCATAAAACTCCTAGAAGACAAGAGGGAGTTAGCTGCTTGACAGCAGTCTTGGTGGTGATTTTTTGGATTAGACACCAAAAGCAAAACTCATTAAGTGGGACTACACCAAACTAAAAAGGTTCTACGGAGCAAAGGAAACCATCAACAAAGTGAAAAGACAACCTACTGAATGGGAAAATTCCTTTACAAATCGTCTATCTCAGAAGGTGTTAACATCCAAATATATTAAAAATTGATTAAAAAATGGGCAGAGGCTCTAAATAGTTTTCTAAAGACCTGCAGATGGCCAACACATACATGAGAAGATGTTCAACATCACTCATCATCAGGAAGATGCAGATCAAAACCACGATGAGCTGTCCTCTTAAACCCGTTAGTATGGCTATTATCAAAAGTCAAAAAAAAAAAACCAAGAGTTGGCAAAGATGTGGAGAGAAAGCCCTTGAAGAGAATGTAAATTGGTGCACTATGGAAAACAATATGGAGGCTCCTGAAAAAATTAAATAAAGCCTATGATCCAGCAATTCCCCTTCTGAGTATTTATCTGAGGGAAATGAAAACTAACTTGAAGTCATATGCACCCTCCACCAATGTTCACTGCAGCAGCATTCACCAAGACATGGAGGCAACCTAAGCATCGGTCAATGGAAGAATGAACAAAGAAATTATGGTATACACATACACACACACTTCAGCCATGAACAAAGAAGGAAATCTTGCCATTTACAATAACATGAATGGATCCTGAATGCATTATGCTAAAGGAAATAAGTCCACGAGAACAAATAATGTATGATCTCACTTATACACGGGAAAAAAACCCAACTCACAGATGGAAAGAACAGATTGATGGTTGGCATAGGGTGGTGGTTAAGATGGGTGAAGGGGATTAATAGTTATAAAATTGCAGTCATAAGTCATGGGGATAAAATATATAGCATGGTTACTATAGTTAATACTGTACGGTATATCTGAAAAATGCCAAGAGAGTAGATCGTGAAAGTTCTCATTATAGGAAAAAAATTTTTTCGTTATGTTAAAAAAAAAAAAAAAAGCCTCTTACTTGTCAGGCAGCAATTCTGCGATGAAGTTTTCTACTGACACAGCAGTCTGTTTTTCATGGATCACTCCAGTTCGACGCAAACTATCTATCCGTTCCTGGGCTCCCTGAATGACAACGGCTCAGGTTAGAAGCCACTTCAAATTATTCAGTATTACATATACTAATTCATGGTTACATAATATGTACATTTATACCAAACACACCTATACACCCATGGTATATATTTAAACAATACAGAAGAATGAAGAGTCCAATTGTGTAAAGTTTACAGAGCACTTTCCATATGCCCTATTAATTTGGCTGTTACTATAAAACGGATTATTTTTACATTAATGCTCTCACTGGTTATTACCGATATGATGAAACTGTGTGCTGCTTCTTAATGTTGATCTGTCAAGAGGATATCTTACTGATAAATCTTATTTTAGTCCTAGTAGTTTTTATTCAATTTGCTCTTGAGTTATCTAGGTAGGCAATCCTATCAACAGTAAATGCTTTTTCCTCTTTCTTATTTCCTTTAAATATAGCCTTAAAATATGCACCAAAATGACAGTTGGCTGATATATTTTTAACTGGAAACATATATATTGCACCAAGATTTATTCAAGAAAATTACTATCATTTATGCAGCAAAACTGCGGGGCTGACAATGCTACATGGATAACTGAAAACCATCAATACATATCTTATGGTAGAAAACTACAAGTTTTCAGTAAGATTGCTGTTTACCTACTTTCATCTGAATTACTTCATAAACAGTGATCATAAGGAAAGTATCAGCAAGTATTTAAAAACCTGGACAAATGTGTTCTATTTCTTAATAAAACTTGCCATGGATAATACATTAACCTATTTTTACTAAGGACAGCGGAGCTAAGTAGTAAGTAAGAAAAAGTGGTCCATTCTTATCAAATGATAATTTAAAAGCTAGGGCACTTCTAGAGACAACAGAAATAAGGTGACAACTGCATGAAAATGGGTAAATCAATTTAAGACATTAGCTTATAAAGATGAAGGATGAAAGAAGGTGTAAACAAAACTGTAGTAGTATCAGGACTATATTTTTGCTTCCTCTCTCTCCAGTACCACACAGTGTCTATCCCAAAGGTCATTCAGGAAAAATGAACTGCATGAAAAACAACGGCCTTCCTAAAAATGTTTGTAACTTATACTAAGAATCTTAATAGTGTAAATTTTCTGGTAACTTTGAATGAGGAGGCACCTACTGAATTTGAAAGAACATCTAAGATCTAAAGAGACTTCATAAGGAAAACAAAGAGGGCGTTCTATGTGGCTCTCTTCTCCCCTGACATTAAGTGTGGCATCTTCTGGAGTCACAAATACACTTTAAGCAGAGCCCCTACCCATGTTTTAAGAACACATTTTAACTTCATTTTCAGAAGTATAAGGAATCAAGAATTAGGTACTTTGGAGGCCACAATGAAGTAATGATCTTGAATGAAAGTACTACACAAAAAGGCCACCCGTGCTTATTCTGTACTCTTAACAGTTTATACTAAGCAATTTTGTTTATCAAAACTCCATACTTCTTCACAAATGCATGTGGATTTATCTGTATCTGCTGAATACAGGTTATAAAACAGTGGTCATAATAACTATGATTGGCTTTTCCATAAAATTAATGTTTGGCATACACATTTCAGAAGCTTCCTAATTTTAATTATGGCAGGTTTATTTCCTTAAACAATCTCACATGCTTAAAGGAAAAGTTGGGTTTAGTTCAGAAAAGACATTCAATTGGGGCGCCTGGGTGGCTTAGTCGGTTAAGCGTCTGACTTTCGCTTGGGTTCGAGCCCCGTGTCGGGCTCTGTGCTGACTGCCAGCTCAGAGCCTGGAGCCTGTTTCAGAGTCTGTGACTCCCTCTCTCTCTGACTCTCCCCTGCTCATGCTGTCTCTCTCTCCCTCCTCCCTCCTAGAAATAAATAAAACATTAAAAAAAAAAGACATTCAATTAAAAATCTGATGAGTTAAAAAAATCCGTGTTGAATTTTTAATATTCTAGGATTCTACATTACTTTTCTTCTCATTAGCCCCCTCTACTGTTTGTGGGGAAAAAAACAGCTGATAAATTTATGAAGAATTTTCCTATGTATCAGTTTCTGTGAATTTTGATTTTTAAGCTTTTATTAAATATTATGGAAAAGAAGCCTATATGTCTGAATTTGAAGGACAAAAACCAACCTAAAAATGAATCTGTCAAACACTAATAAAGTCACAACATCTTGAGCTATTAATATTCTCTAAAAGATGAGGTTTTTCTTGCAGAAAATAATCTCCATCAGCCTTTCAAGAACAGCACCTAATGATTTTAAATATCTTCTTTTAAGTTTATTATTTTGAGAGAGAGAGAGAGAGAGAGGGCATGAGCAGGGAAGGGGCACAAAGAGGGACCCAGAGAATCCCAAGCAGGCTCTACACTGTCATCACAGAGCCCAATGCAGGGCTTGAACTCACGCACTGTGAAATCACAACCTGAGCCAAAAACACAAGTTGGCCGCTTAACCGATGGAAACACCCAGGCACCCCAGTTTTAAATATCTTCCATGTAATAATATTTGACATAACAAAATGTTTGACTCATGTTTTAAAAACCATAAAAATTTGAGTTATAGTCCAAATATCACATGGTGATTTGTCATAAAACAATTAATGACCCATCAGCTGACAACTGTGTCTGGTCTTTTTTCAGTTTTGACAAGAACAAAAAAATTTTACCTCGTCATTATGTCATTAGTATTCCCAACATTGGACACGGTATTTTGAACCGTCCCTTCCAACGACACTCAGAGGAGTATTTTATGTTCTGGGGCAATGAACCATATGAACATTTGTGGGGAGGAGGTAGGTCTCACTTCCCAGAGGGAAAGAACAGAGGTTCTATCTGGGAAGATAGGAAAGGAGAACAAGTTGCCTCAATGCCAGGTATATAATTAGGCAGAAAATGTTTAGGCAAGAGAACATGTGGAGGCTGAAGAAGTGAGTTCCTTAAAGCTCTCAGGGTTTCCTGAGACCCTGAAAAACCTTTGTGTCTCATCAGAGGAACTTCTAGACCAGTCTGAAGACCACTGTGTGACTGTAGAACTACAATCAAGATATAGTGATGGGTGGGAGGCAGCCAGAGTGCTCTTAAGTGAAAAATCTCTTCTCATGAAATCGATAGGATGTTAAACCAAAATTGAAAGCAGATCCCCAAATGAAAATATCTTCTGTATCAGACTGCTTACTTGAAGAAATAAATTAATAATTTAAAAAACACACCCTAGCATTTTTAGTTCTGATGTTTGGGGTTTAGACATTTTTAAAAAATGTTTTTTAATATTTATTTTTGAGAAAGAGAATAAGAGTGAGTGAGGGAGGGGCAGAGAGAGAAGGAGACACAGAAACCAAAGAAGGCTCCAGGCTCTGAGCATGGAGCCTGATGTGGGACTTAAACTCACACACCGCAAAATCATGACTTGAACCAAAGCCAACGCTTAGAAGTCGGGCACTTAACTGACTGAGCCACCCAGGTGCCCCTAGACATCTTGATAAAACTGCTATTCACTTTAAAGAACACCAAGTACTACTTTAAGACTTTGCATCTGTGAACCAAACCAAAATTCCTGTTCCTGAGGAATGTGGGGAAACATTCCAAAACACAAATACAAAACAAAATGATGCAGTGTATCAGAAGGTGCTGAGAACCACAGGAAAGAAAACAGAAGAGTAAGGGCGATTAGGGTGCATCAGCACAGGATGCAGGACTAAACAAGGCAGGCCTCACTGTGCAGGCAAGATTTGCGTGAAGACTTAAAGAAGGTTCAGAGAGCCCACCAAGAACATGCTGGAGGGAAGAATGTACCGGACAGAGAAAAGACCTAGTGAAAAGGCCCCACAAAGAGGAGCAGGAAAGGCAAGTACAAAGAGCTGCAAGGAAGCCACTGTGACTGGCATGAGCGAGTGAGGGGAAGACCAGGAGTTGCAGCAGCGAGAGAACAAAAGGCCATGTCAGCCCAACTGTGTGAGGCCACGGAAGAAGCCACTTAAGTAATGTGGGTTTACAATGAGTGAAATATAAAGTGTTGAAAAGGGGAGTGACGTGCTCTCACCTGCTCTCACCCATGATATGAAAGGATTATCTGGCCACTCTGCTGAGAAGGACCTAGAGGGCTACAGGGGCATTACCCTAGCAGGGTAACCCCAACAGCTAGATGGCCTAGTCAGAGACGAGGCACTGCAGCGGCAGGAGGGATGTGAGCAGCCAGCTGCTGGACACATCGTGAAGGCAGGACAAACAAGACTTCTTGATAAACTGCGCATGGGCACAGACAGAAGGGGGACTCCAAGGTTTCTCACTTGGGAAAATGGAAGGACGGTGCTGCCATCGATCCTAGAGAAGGAGAAGGCTACGGGCGGCCTGGGGGGAGGGGGGGGGGCGGGGAGGGGAAAGCAGGTGCATGTTTTAGACACTCAGGTTAAGATGTTGAGAAGGCAACTTTTACATAAATCTAGTTTACGTGAGAGGCTGGTGCTGGAGATGGAAATTTCAAACTGTCAGCACACAGATGGTATTTAAAGCCAGACACTCTGAGCTCACCAAAGGAGGGAATGTAGATAAAAACAAAACCATCAGAGGGAACGCACAAAGGAGGCACAGGGGAGGGGGAAACAAGTGTGGAACCCCAGCAGTGAAAAACACAGTAAAGAAACCTAAGTGTTACAAAAGCTTAGGTAAGAGCAGAAGGAGAACACTGGTGACATGCACAGCGCTCTCTGTGGAGTCGGGATGAGACCCAGGCTGGGTGGAGTTAAGGAGACTATAAAGGCAGAATTAGAGATAAAGGATTAGCAACTCTTTGGAGAAGTTTGGCTGCTAAAAGAAACAAAACCAAAAACAAAAAAAACAAAATGAGATGGTAGATGATAATAAGGTAAAAAATTTTGTTAAAGTCTCTGGTTTATTTAAGGTAGGAGAAATATCTGCATGCTAATGACCTGTTTAGTGTTCATTTGCTCTTGTGTGTCTATATTCTGGTGGTAACAAATGTCCGACAGGACAGGATTCTTCAATGTTTAATGTTTGTTTCTGAGAGAGAGAGAGAAACAGAGCATGAGTGGGGGAGGGGCAGAAAGACAGGGAGACAGAGATATGTGAAGCACGCTCCAGGCTCTAGGCTCTGAGCAGACAGCACAAAACCTGACCTAGGGCTCAAAACCATGAACCGTGAGATCATGACCTGAGCCTAAGTGAGATGCTTAACCAACCAAGTAACCCAGGTGCCCCAGGATTCTTGAAATTTAACCCTCACTGGCTTGAGAAAACCAGATGTAGTTCACTGGGAATTGGACAGTTTTTCCACAGATGTAGGACAAGGTTTTTAACGGTAACTGGCCAGAAGACAATCTGTAATATTCCAGGGGTGGTGTTAGTATGCAGTTGTATGAAATTTCTCTTTAAAATAAGTCACTCTGTCATCTGTCCCTGCTACACACTTGGTCACAAGATCCTCTTCCCTCACCATGGAAAAACTAAGACAGTGTCTTCCTTTTAAAGTTATTACTGATAATGAGATTTAAAAAGTCTCTATACACTGGTGAGACTCTGAAAAACTCTGGTAACATGCAGGTTTTGTAGCTGTAAAGTGCCAGGTAGTCAGGCCTTTAAGACAAAGGAATTAAAAGGATGGAGAAGAGGAAGAATCAAGGCAAGGAAGCTAAGAAAAGCTCCCAGATGAGTGCTAAGTCCTCTCACCAAGGACAGGCAAAAGGGAAATTTGTAGGGTCAATCTAGATAGAACCTGCCTATTGGAAGCCCATTAGTAGTCGGGAAACTTTCAAATATATTGGAGTCCCCAAAACCATGAAGAAAAATGTAAGTGTGAAGTATTATTTATAGTGAAGCAATAAAAAGCTTAGAGGATTCAAGGGGTACTATAATTTCAGTATAAAATTATTTAAATTCAGTGTGACTTACATGCTAGCACTGGGTCAAGATCTCTTTTAGGACTAACTATTCTCTGCGAGTGTTCCTCCCGTCCCGTCATCAAAACCTACCCTTCTGTTAAAGTAAAACTACACACAGTTTTCTACTTAAAAACCAAGATGATCATTATTTCTGAATGTAAAAAGCCATCAGCTCCATAAAGACCAAAGGATTATGAAAAAATTAGTTTCCAGTTTCTATACGCTGATGAAAGTTTTCTATTACTCACTTTCAGGCCAGCTGCATAGCCCACCGGCTGTGGGGCAATATTGGACTGTCCAGCTTCCCCTATCACCACAGCTAAGCCAAAGACCTCCTGGAAGGCGTCTCGGACGGCGGCGACTTTCACTTCTTTATTCGAGGTCACTACGATGTCCAGTTCACCTCCAGATTCTACCACGACCAGAAAAAAAATTTCAGCTCCAAAGTAAAATAATGAAATTCTCGTCATCATTGTCATATGCTAACACTTCATTATAGAATTATTACTAAGTTCACAAAATAATGCAAGACACAGGTTATGAACTTCTTTATATGCTGAAGAAGCTAAGACTGATAAGACCTTGCCCACGGTAACAATAATTTTGCGATGATGTCAGGACACGAACCTAGGGGTGTCACACTCCGACATCCTCTTTCACACCATCTGCTCCACCAGACACACTTCCACCCTCTAATCCAACAGCATCTTATTCAAGTGTTTAGATCCAAACTACCAATTTGTCCTTTTAAAACTGAGCATTTAATGGAATACCTGAGAGTCTCATCTGCAGGCAGAAGATACTGCATGCCTTCTAAATGTTCTGAGCATCTCATCTGCCACAAAAAGAGCGTAACAGTTTTTTTCCTACGAAATACTGCTCCCCCCTAAAACAGCCATTTTGTGGTCAAACACGCTTGGGAATTGCTCTATGCGTTCTGTCTTGGAAATTCACAGTGAACATTAAGATTCTCAGAAAACCAACAGTTAAATATGACTTTAACCCACCACTTTCCACACTTAATCTGTTTATAGACTACTTTTTCAGCATAGTAACAGCTCCTAGAAAGTCTTCCATAGATGTCAATTTGGAAAATAATGTTTTCACAGCTATGAAAAAAGTTTAATTTTCTACTATACTGCTCTATTAATTTCACAAAATTTCATTTTCTGTTAAGTCTACACTTTGGATAAAACACATTGCATTTTTAAGCCTGCAAATCACAATGGCTTTCCTGCTTTCAATTAATAAAGACACACATCTATTATGCGTAAACTTCTGATATCATGAGAATGTTGGAATTCCAAGTCCTTTAACTAAGCGAGCAATCACAGAAATTAAATATGGAGCTTGTGAAATACATGTTACACATTTAGGGTGTGTTACAGAAAATGAAAATGAAGACTGTTACTGACAAGAAGGATTTGTCAGAGTTGTAAAGAAGTTCCGCACTCAACAAGGGCGCCATGAAATGTGCTTTTTATCTAGAAAATAGTTTACATGGTGAGAGTCAACTTTTTTACCCTACATCTTCACCATCAGAAGAAAAAAGCATATGCCATAAATAAATGGGGTATCTAGCTATAAATGATACATCTATTATTGTCCTAATATGTAAGCATATAAGGAAATGGAAGAACCAACACATATAAAACTTGAAATCTAAAAAGGCAAAGAATATGAAATAAAAATTCTAAAACATTTTTAATGTATCATTTCTAAAAACGTTGTACCATTTACACAGAGTGATTTGATAAATATACCTATTTTTTAAAATCTTTACCTAACATTTTGTGACACACTGAGTTCAAAGACCTATTTCTAAGCACAGCATATTTTGGCACCTGGCATTAATGGGGATCACTAGTCCAATAGAAAGATCAAGAAAGCTGTTTATGTTGTAAAATATTTTGCCCCAGAAACAATGTTATGGTGCTCCTTAATAAGCATCTTGTGGAACACCTAAAAATATTTTCAAAATATCTGGGCTTTGTATCATTTTTCTTTTTTCCCCACTGACAGGATGATCCACAGATCCCATCTGTACTAGAATTTCCTAAGTTACTAAAACCTAAAAGCATTGAGTCTCATAGGAGAGAAAAGAGAACAAATATACTTTTCTCTAATTTTTTCTCCATGTGGGACCTATCTCTTGGCCCTGGCTGAGTACTGTTCCATTAAACTTCGCCTCGAGAGGCTTCTCAGTCTCTCTGTGATGAACAGTATCACCTTTATTGATGGATGATAAGTAATGTTAAGAATATAGGAAGCTAAACTGTGTTAAAATCCATTTCTAATACTCTTATGCCTTCTTGATACCTTTGAAATTGTAATGATTTGTACAATATTTCTATAAAAATATCTTAAGTTTTATTTTGAATTTGTTAGATCAGAATGGTCTTGCTTTCACTGCCAGTAAAGAGTCAGCTTGTTCACATCAGTCTTACTGCTTTTTATAGTTAACTGATTAAGACTACATGTTATGATCTTCACTGATAGACAATTTATTTGGTATTTTCCCCTGAAACTCGACCCCTTTCGTTTTCTGCCTTTTTCATGATGCCACATGGACCACTGACCTGAGAAAAAGCCCTGGGTGTGAGTCCTGACTTTATCAGCTTTGTCACCTCAGGGCAGTCAATGAGCTGGTTTCTTCAAAGAAAAACATCTGCCCCCTCACAGGGCTTTTTCTAGAGACTAAGTAACTGTTTTCACAGTCTAACACAGTACCTGTTAAAATAGCAAGAGCTTCAAATATACTAATTCCTTTCTTTCCCTCATTCAAAACAGGAGCTTGAAAAGAATATATATGATGCATTAGTTATGTCACACTTGATTATTATGAATATATAAAATCAGTATCTATGACAGGGTCCAATTTCTAAATCCTTTGGCAGACACAAAGAACAACTCAGCTGATTTAATACTTGATTCAATTTTCTATTCCCACAGAAGCAAAGTGGCTAAGAGTAAAAACAACTTGAACATGGGTTCAATCTAGCTCCACCTAACTGTATATGACCTAGGATAATAATCACTCCAAACTGAGGTTCTGCATCTCCAACGTAAAAAAAAAATACTTAACTTGCAGAGTTCTTATGAGAATTACTGCCGGGCACAGCAAGCATTTAAAAATGATACTCATTACAATTAGGTCTTGTCCTTTGATGCTTACTAGCCAACCACCAACAATATGAAGACTTCTGAAAGCTACTAACTTTTTATTGGTACTAAAAATCTCTGTTCAAGTACCTGATGCATGGCTGTGACTTGTAAGTTGTTATCTTTAACAGAAATACTAATAATTGGTCACTGATCCTGCTAACGATTATGCTTCTTCACATACTGGGATATGTACATGCAAAATTAAGTGGCATGGCATGTATGTCTACATCATCTGTCTGGAGGATTCTTGGTAATAGGAATTCAAAGGTGAGTAAAATAGCTTCCCCAACAGATCTAGTAATCAGACATTATTAGTAAACAGATTAACTTCCTCTAAAAATATTATTCCCAGGGTAAGCATAATCCCATTTAATTAAAATAGATAACTGGAGAATTATCAAAATCAAATATAAACAAAGCATCACATCAAATGTCAATAGTGAATAAAATAAAATTCATACAAAACAAGACCAACCACATTTACAATTAATATACACTAATTACAAGTATACTAATCACGGAGCGCCTGGGTGGCTCAGTCAGTTGAGCGTCCGACTCTGGCTCAGGTCATGTTCTCACGGTTCATGGGTTGGAGCCCCACGTTGGGCTCTGTGCTGACAGCTCAGAGCCTGGAGCCTGTTTCAGATTCTGTGTCTCTCTCTCTGACCCTCCCCTGCTCACGCTGTCTCTCTCTCTCTCACAAATAAAAAAAAAAACATAAAAAACAAACAAACAAACAAGTATACTAATCAGTATACAAGTTCATATGGGTTTTACTCCTCCCAGAGTCCCTTCTGCGGGGTTTTCAAAATTTATTTGTGACAAAGAAAAAGTTAAGAATGTCAACGCTAAGACTTATGATCAAGAACGTAAGATGATTTCCACTGATTACAAGACTCTGGAATGACAGTGAGTGGCTGACAAAAGCACATACTTTAAAACCATACAGCAAATGCAGCTCTATCTTAAGTACATACTGATATATGGAGCCATGCCAGGGTCCAACGTTGTAATCATGCTTTCTACCGAATGCTTTGTTTTGTCAAGCACAGATTTCACCATGGGATTTCCCGCCACACCCTGCACAAGACAAATTAATATATAAAGGCCCATTCTAAGTAAAGAACACCTGACGGTGGAAGAAAACTTTTGAAGTTTCTGATACACGGAAGACCTGTAATTTTGTAAAATGTAAGAAAAACATGGTTACGGCAATGTCAAAATGCTATTAAGATTTCAAAATGCTTACTCTCAATTTCTCCTTTCATCACAGACCCACGGCAGTCGACAGACCCCAGTGGCCTGTATATCCACACAGGATATGTGGAGGTATTCCTTTCATGGATGTATAGATTCATATGTATTCAATTTCCACATATATACACATTCATTTCTCTGCATGTACATATTCTTATTGTACTGCATTTCTACTTATTTATATGAAAGACTATGCAAAACTAATCCATCAATAAAAACTGTAATGAGATGTCTCCATGGATTCATACTTGGTTCCCTAACCAAAAAATAAAAATGGTAATACCTCTCATCCTTATTCCCTCATTAACATGCATTATTCTGCTATGTTCTACTGGTTTGCTATGTTTCTTCTTTATTCCAACTTCTATTTGTTATGTTCATTCCCAAATTCTCTCTTTTAATCCACACCCATTCCTCTGAATTCTTAAAACCACCTATTCAGCAGAAGGAACCAGGTCTGAGTGCTCCCTTCTTGTGCCATACTTCTCCCAGGGTAAGCTAAGGAGCAGGGTCTCCTGAGATGGCATGTGACTAGCAGGCCACCATTCCACCTTTTCCAAGCTACCACTGAACTAAGGGGATTCAGAAAAAGCTGAGTTCTTAACGGTGATATTTAAAACTGTCAACCAATATTAGGCAGAGTATTAGAAGAACTCCTTACAAGACTTGTAGAGTTGAATGAGTGTTACAACTAGTGACAGACACACTGACAGAAGCTCATAACAGTGGAAAGTAGTAGTGATCCCTCTATAAGGAAAACCTTTAAAAAGTACAGAAGGGTTAAAAAAAAAAAAAAAAAAAAAAGGAAGGTAAGAAAAATGCCATCTCTGTGTAACATAAAGCTCAAACATTGTAACTAAGTTAGCTACTTAGCAATTAAAAAATAAGTTTAACATATGATTAAATTTCAGCCAAACTCTCAGCAGAATACTGGGAGAAACTTTGTCACAGTGATTCCAAAATTCATTAAGAAAAATAAATGCAGAAGACTAGTAAAGAAAACTTTTTAAGAAAAATCTGCAAACTTAAAAATTAAATACTGATATATCATTACAAAAGCAGGCATTTGGCACTGACCTTTCTATCTTACTCATCCCCACCTGAGCACAGAGTAGACTTTCAGTACATATAATAAACAGAGTTAACAGTAATCACATTCGTGAGGTACTTACTATTGCAGTGCCGGGCCAAAGAGTGGAACAGAACAGAGTTCAGATAATGACATTAACACACAATTTCATAATTAACATAAAGATGAGATATCAAAACCCTGGGATATGATATTGCCAGAGTCAAGTAAGTGGCTGGAAGAAAATTAAGTCTGACTTCTACTTCATGTAATAAAGTATCAGCAACAATAAACTGGTAGGTATTAAAAAATGAAACCATAAAAGAATTAGAAAAAATCACAGAAAATCATTCATGATATAGTGTGGTAGGAAAAGGTCATTGTTAACATAAAATAACGAAAAAAACCCAAAACTGATATGAAGAACTTCTGAAAATTTAGATGTTGTGTAAAAAAGGTGTAATACAATTCAAATGTATAATAAAAAGAGAGAAAACTGCAACATATGATGCAGATAATAAAATATTCTTACTGCACTAGGGGCTCTTATGAATTTTTGTTCAGAGAGGAAAAATCATCCCAATTCAAAAATGGGCAAAGAACAAGACTAGAGACCTAAGGAAAAAAAACATGAATGGAAACAAAAAAATCAGGTGAAAAAATGTTCAAATTTGATACCAAAGAAACGCAAATTAAAACAAGATATGTTTTGGGGCGCCTGGGTGGCTCAGTTGGTTAAGCATCCAACTTCAGTTCAGGTCATGATCTCACGGTTTGTGGGTCCAAGCCCCACATCGGGCTCTGTTCTGACAGCTAGCGCAGAGCCTGGAGTCTGTCTTCGGATTCTCTGTCCCTCTCTCTCTGACTCTCCCCTGTTCACACTGTCTCTCTCTCTCAAAAATAAATAAAACATTAAAAAAATTAAAAAAAAAAAGATATGTTTTTTGTTTGTCAAATCAAAAAAAGTTATATTTCAAATCCATAATCAGGGCTGACAAATGAAAAATGCTGGGATAGTCAGACATTCACTCTGTTCACTCTGACATTCATCAGAACTCAACCTCGACAAAACAGAGATGAGCATAAAGATTTGCCTACAAGAGTGCTCATCAGAGTTGCACTGGTAAGAATTACAATTAGAGACGGCTAAAATACATTAGCAAAATATGGGAAATAAATGCCATGGCATGAAGGGCAAAGCAGCCATAAAGAAAACTTCTGAAGAATATTTATGGCTGCGAAGATGTTCCTGCTATATGCTGAATAAAGACAAACAAGACATACTTCGTGAAATAAGTCAGGCAGAGAAGGACAAATATCATATGTTTGCACGTATAGGAGGATTAGGATGAATGTAACTGAGGAACAAGGGGGAGAAGAAGGGGGGAAATGGTGGGGGAAAGGGAGAGAGGCAAACCATGAGAGACTCTTGAATGCTGACAAAAACTGAGGACTGATGGATGTGGGGGGGGGGAGGGAGGGGCATGGAGGAGGGCACTTGTGGGGATGAGCACTGGGTGTTATGTGGAAACTAATTTGACAATAAACTATTTGAAAGAAAAAAAAGGAGAAAAAAAAGAAAAAAATAAGTGCTTTGAAAAGTAAAAACCTAAAATAGAGACATTCTGAATGCCAAAATGCTAATTTTCAAAACATATTAGAATCCCAGAACTGTTATTAGGCTTCGTATACGTTGTGTTCACTTTGTTATTACTACCTTATGTGGTCTGGTATGAGGACATTCCTTATTTAACGTGTTCAAAAATAAGGGTCTTAAAAGAAAAAAGAAAGAAAAAAAAAAACTTTGGGTCTTGAGAATTTTTTTGTTTGCAAGATTCTCCTATAATAAAAAAAAAAGTGAAAAAAAAAAGACAAAACACAAAACAGTGTCCACATGTCACTACCCCCATTTTGACTTTTATTTTGAAAAAGATATATATACACATATAAACACACAAAAAAGATTGAGAGCAACTGAAAAAAAAACCTGGTTATAAGACTAAAACGAATTTTTACTTTTTCCTTATACCATTTTGTACTTTCAAAATTATTCCAATGAACATCTAAGAATTTTATAACTAAAAAGTTCAGCATAGTTTTTTAACTACATACCCCTTACCTTAATAAAACCCCAGATTCCACCAGCAGACGCTTCATCCTGACCCCTAACAACTCTGGGATCCTCTTGTTCCTCCGGAAAAGTAATGGCTGACGTGGTTCCAGGCCCCTGTGCCACAGATGTCAAACTGGCTTGCTGAGTAATGGGAGTCGGCAAAATACCTGGTAATCGGCAAACATTTCTAATATGTGTAATTTATTTCATTAACTATTTCCTATAAAAAAGATATATGAGATGAGTAGCTCAAAACAGCTTCAATAACGTAAATATATATTCAGGCATTTGTTAAAATTTTTTTTAATGTCTGTTTATTTTTGAGAGAGCGAGCGAGCGCACATGAGCCGGGGAGGGCCATAGAGGGAAGGGGGACGGAGGATCGGAAGCAGGTTTTGCTGTCAGCATGGAGCCAGATACGGGGCTAGAACTCACAAACCGTGAGACCATGACGTGAGCTGAAGTCCTACGCTTAACCAACTGAGCCACCAAGGCACCCCTATACTCAGGCATTTCAAGACTGAGTTATGTACTCCAAGAATCACCTAAATCTTTATAAAATACATATGAAACAAGATTTCAAAGAACAAATCTCTTTCCCTTTTTGTAGGTTTTTTTATGAAGTGTCCTAAAAACGGACCAAATACATATCAAAAAGTACTTCCTAATGGCCCTATTTAATACTTGGATGTGGGGAGGTGTAATTCTAATCCCTTTAATGCATAAAACTAATTGATGTGAGCACCCAAGCCCATCATATGAAAGAGTGTAACAATGAGTACATATTCCACGTGCCCTACTTTAACTCAGAACAGAAAATTCACATGTTCATAGACCTAGATATAATACTTAAACTGTGCGAAAAGTTCTGTTTGTAAACATAGATAAGCAAAACATTTGGGTAATAAAAATCACAACAAAGCTGCTTTTTCTAAAAGGAGAAGGAACAGGCAGAAGATGACAAGGATGCAGTTTTGATCCTGGTTTTCAATAACCATTCGGGAAAGACAAAAAAGTAGTTGTAACCAACTTACACAAGGAAGATGGCCGAACTCCACAAACTTAAGGCATATATATGTGAGCTTTTATTTGTCTTTAAATGTTTACCTGGCAAATAAAACTATTCCCTGAACCATTCTGTCCATATAACCTTTCAAGTAAAGCTTTAAAAAACTCTCAAGTTTCACCCTGGTGTTTCTAAGAAAACCTGCACTGCATTTACTAAACATCTACATTTTACAACATATAAAGTTAATCATTTACTAAATTAACAACAGCTGTATTTCAATAGTTTAAATGTCAAAACATGAGAATGGAACACTCCAGAGTCTAAAGGAAGGAGCTAAAAATAATGCAGTGAGAAACAACAAAGTTAAAAAAAAAAAAAAAAAAAACACGTAATACAGAGACACGGAAACACTCAAACAGTGCTGAGGAGAAAGTGAAACAGTACCAAGAAAACAGTCCAGCATTCTCTCAAAGCCAGCAATTCCGAGCCTCGGTGTACACCCAAGAGACCTGAAAACATGTCCTCAAGAAAACTTGTACACCAATGTTCATAAAAGCAGTATGCATAATATCAAAATGTCAAAACATGAGAATGGAACACTCCAGAGTCTAAAGAAAAGAGAAAAAAATAATACAGAGAAAAAAAAAAAAGTTAAAAAAAAAAAAAAAAAACACGTAATACAGAGACACGGAAACACTCAAACAGTGCTGAGGAGAAAGTGAAACAGTACCAAGAAAACAGTCCAGCATTCTCTCAAAGCCAGCAATTCCGAGCCTCGGTGTACACCCAAGAGACCTGAAAACATGTCCTCAAGAAAACTTGTACACCAATGTTCATAAAAGCAGTATGCATAATATCAAAACGTGGAAACAAGATAAAGCTCATCAACTGATGAAATAATCAAAATGTGGAAGAAATAGCCATACGATGGAGGATTACTCAGCCATGACAAATAAGAGAGTACAGATACATGCTACAATGTGGGTGAACCTGAAAAATATGCTAAGTGAAGGAATCCTGTCGCAAAAGCCACACACTGCATGATTCCATTTATCTGAAACGTGCAAAATAGGCAAATTCATAGAGACAAAAGCAGATGAATGGTTTTTCGGTCTGTGAAAAGTGGGAGCAAGTCAGGAGTGACTGTTAATAGCAATAGGGCTTCTTTTGGGGGGTGATTAAAAAGCTCCAAACTGATGATGGCAATGGTTACATGACTCTGTACATACTGTGACAACTACTGGATTCTATATTTTATGGGTTTGTTTGTTTTTTTTTCTGAGAGATAGAGAGGAAGAGAGAGAGAGAGAGAGAGACTGCATGAATAGGGGAAGGTCAGAGAGAGAGGGAGACATGGAATCTGAAACAGGCTCCAGGCTCTGAGCTGTCCGCACAGAGCCCCACGCGGGGCCCGAACCCACGAACCATGAGATCATGACTTGAGCCGAAGTCAGACGCTTAACCGATTGAGCCACCCAGACACCCCTGAATTATATATTTTAAAGAGGTGAATTGTATTGTACGTAAGTTATTTCTCAATAGAGCAGTTATTTAAAAAAAATAAATAACATTACTCAAACATTACCTACAGCCATTTAATTCCAAGTATCAGTAAGAGAGAGTTACCTGTTACAGGAGGTGCAGAGAACGACGGCATCAGGGGTGTCTGGGGAGCTCTTCCCGCATGTCCCCTTGTAATGTCGTAAGTCGCTCCAACAGAAAATCCCGATGTGGGAGGACCGGAAGAGGGTGCGGACAAAAGAGTGTTTGGGGCAGAAGATGGAGGGGGGAAGTGAGACAGAGGAGGGTTAGTGAAGGCGGCAGCAGGTGCTGGAGCCCCCGGAGGCGGTACAGAAGCAGCAAGGGCTGCGACGGGAGGGACAGGTGAAGGCGGCACCAAGGGCGCAGAGGGCCTCACAGGAGCCAGGGGTGGCTGAGGGGTGGAGTACACATGCTGCGCCAAGGGCTGAATGGAGGACACGTTTGGAGAAGAAAAAGAACTAGTTGCAGCTAAAAAAAAAAAAAAAAAATAGGTGGGAAGGAAAATAAAACACAAAACTGCAAATGCTTTTTGCAAAGTATCTTGTCACATCTGTCTTGCAAAATTTTAAAAATTATCAATCCGTAACTGAGTAATTAATTTAAAATGTGTAATCTGAAATACACAAGTATAACTGACTGCAAATGACTTTCAATTCCCCTAAGCAAAAGCAGCAGCTGTATAGAATTAAGTTACAGCCCCATTCATAAGTAGATCCTTGTGTTTTCATTCATTTTGGAAACATTCTTAATAAAATAGAGCTATTTTTCACCCCTGCTGACTTCAGCATAAAAACCTACATACTGGCTCAAATATTTTGGTAAGTTAATCATCAAACTCTCAGAACATGAGTCAAAACTAATGCGTGTGTTTTAGGATATTTTTGTCATAGGACGATGATTTATAGTCAGTATAAACATTAAGAACAAAACTTGACCCAAAGCAGAACATAACAAGTTTTCTACCTTGAGGCTTAAATAAGAAAGGATGCTTCCTTTCGTCCTAGCAAAGATGACGGGACTTGTAAAATATGTAGTCATCTTCTACCTGACTCTGAGAAAAGTGAAGCGTCTCCACCGCCCTCCAGACACACCAGACACCAGAAAGCTCCACGTACCTGAAGGAAGGGGCGTGGAAGACACAGTGGCCGCGGCGGGTCCCGCAGGATGTGGCGGAGGGGTCCCCGGCGGGGTGGTCTCTATTCCACTCTCTTCCATCATTTTTCTTCAGTTACAGTTTACTGCAAAGGTATAAAAATGTAATAAATACTGCACAGTAATCATGTGTATTTCTAGAGAATGATTATAGAAAATAATCAAGAGACAGAGATCTGTCTTTGCTATTTATAATGCCATTTACTTCTACATAAAGGATCTGTCCAAATTCCTAGGAAAATAGTCTGTGACTATGTTTAATATGCACATATGAGATATTCCATACACATATTTGGTAATTAGGAAATAATTTGAAGTTAACTAATTATCCATAAACTTCAAATAGTAAATTACCAATATAATTTTCTCACATGAATGTATATAAGATTGATATCTAGATTCCAGTTACTGTTACATTTAAAGTAAAAATGAATCATTAGTCATTAAGTATTACTAAGTATTTTGAAGAGGGAGGGGAGAGAAACTTAAGCAGGCTCCACACCTAGCGTGGAGCCCGACACAGGGCTCGCTCTCACAGCCCTGAGATCATGACCTGAGCCGAAATCGAGAGTCAGACACTTAATGACTGAGCCACTCAGGTGCCCCTATTATTAAGTATTATTAATATTACTTCTCTCCCCATAAAGTATTATATGTGGGCTATTTCTGTTAACATGAAAATAAACTCGAAATGTGCTCCATTCCCAGTATCTCTAGTTCACATTTTAAACCACAGTAACTGCTAAGTGATATGTCTCATGTACTGGAAACACTAACTTCAGCAAAAGTGTTATATGGTCCTAAGATAATAATGAACTACAAAATATGGGAAAATTTCCTCAAAAATGAAAAATTTTCAAGCCTGTCTCAAATATAAAATCAAAACTTCCAAATAAAACTTCGGAATTTGCTTTTGATGTTTTTACTTATTTAACAAATATTTAAAGTCAACAGTGCCAAGCACTGTACCGGGACCTGTGTGCATACAATATATGCAGAAACAAACAGGATACGTACAGTCCAGTGTGAGACAACTCAATAATACCACCCATGGGCAATGAACTGAATTATGTGCTCGGTGGGTAAGAACACAGCCTTGAGAGGAATACAATTTTGAGTTGAAATGGAGGAAAGGAAATCACATATAAGCAGAGATCTGAAAGATGTATAGAATTAAGCAAGGGAAAAGAATTAAGTAGAGAAGGTCCCAGACAAAGTAAAAATACCAGGAGGAGGTAAACAAGCCCTGGGGGTGGGGAGGGGAGAGGGGACAGGACACATTCAAGAAAACCCATGTGCACCAAACAGAAAAGAAGAATTAAGACTGGAGACACAGGCAAGAGCCCACACCATGGTTAACTTTACACCAGGTCAAGGAGTTGGGTTTTTCAAAAAGAGAAAAGCACCATACAGCACTCAAGCTGGAGATGAAATATTTGTCTTCTGTCTTAACTTTTTAAAAGAAATTTTAGAGGTGCCTGGGTAGCTCCATAGGTTAAGCGTCCAACTTTGGCTCAGGTCATGATCACACAGTTCGTGGGTTCGAGCCCCTCATCAGGCTCTGTGGTCACAGCTCAGAGCCTGGATCTTCTTTGGATTCTGTGTCTCCCTCACTCTCTGCCCCTCTCCCACTCATGCTCTGTTTCTCTCTCTGCCTCTCTTTCAAAACTAAATAAGCCTTAAAAAAATTTTTTTAAGAAATTTTAGATTCACAGAAAGATGCAAAATAGACCAGAGAACCCGGGGAACCCAGGAAATTAACACTGGTGCAATACGAGTAACTACAGATTTCATTTGGATTTTCATCTGTTTTCACATGGGTGTATGTCTGTGTGTATGTAATTCTATGAAATTTCATCATCTGCAAAGACTCATGTAACCAACACCACAATCAGGTTACAGAACTGTTCTATTACCCTGAAGAAACTCCCTCACAGTGCTCCCTTGCACATCCTTCTACTAACCATAAGCCGTGGCAACTGACTATTTATTCACTATCATTTTCTCATTTCATGAAATGTTACCTAAATAGAATCATACAGCATGTAATATTTTGAGATCAGCTTTTTCTTTCACTCAGCACAATGGTCTTGAGATCCATCCAAGCTGTTGGATCTATCACTGGTTGGGTATTTTTAACTGCTGAATAGTATTCCATCTCATAGATGTGCCACAGTTAGCTACTGGTCTGCTGAAAGCTAATCTAAGGCTAATTCCAGCTTTTGCCAATTCACATTTGTGTTCCAAACATGAGAACATTCCTTTGACCACAGTACGCAGATGGAGACACAGGGCAGTCAGAGTAAAGGCAGAAAGACTATTAAGAAGGATAGAATTCATATAACACTCTAGACAAGCGGCTCTCAAGTACAGGAGAAGAGGACAGGAGGTAGACTCAAGGACTGGACATGGATGTAGTGACAGGAAGAGGCACGATTTGCACAACTGCACAGATGTCTACACCGTTCATGAAGACAGGAATGCAGGAAAAGGTCAAGGTGTTTGAGGTCTTCTTTTTGGGGAAGGGGGCATTACACACTGTTTAATATTGGACATGTTGAGTTTAAGCTCCTTGAAACACCCAAGTAGAGATATCTGACTTGGTCTGCAGTTTCAGAGTAAGTGTGGGTGTGGATTTCTTCAGTTTACTGATAGCCTCTAAAGTCATATTTACTGGGATGAGGTTACCTAAAAGGAGAATACCAAATGAAAAGAGAAGATAACTCAATCAATCCTTGAAAAATAGTCTGGCAGAAAGATGAGCTTAATGAGAAGTGGGAGATGAACTAAAAGAAGAAAACCAGGAGACTGTGGTGGCCAAATGCCAAAGAAGAGTTTCACAGCGGGAAGAGGCAGTGGTATCAAATGCTGTGGAAATGCCAAACAACGATATTTGAAAAATTCCATGTATTTCTGAAACTAAGATATGAGTGCAGTGAGAGCTGTTTCCATGGAAAGAGTGGGGCTAGAAGGCAGTTTCAACCAGTCTAAGGAGTAGAAGGTGAGGCAGAAACACAAAACACTTTCAAAAAGTTTGGTTATGAATGTAGAAGAAACATCTATGTCATCAAGAAAGAACAGGGATCAGGGAGGTAAAATCCTTTCATTCAGTACCTATACACCCAAGGGCAATAACCTTGAACACAAATGTCCTTGTGGGGACTTTATTGCTCCCTGTGAAGGCTACCTCTTTTCATCGCCCCATTTTCTATTGGTAATTCAGTTTCCTCCTACAGGTGCTGCTAAATCCTTCCATTGGCTGGTGGAAGTCAAGTTTAAGATAATCTTGATCTGTAAAATTAACGGATGTGTTAGCAAAATAAGCTATGCAGTGAAAACAACCTATAACCCAAAATAAAGCGTCAATTTTTTTCAGTCTTTATTAGATACTCTATTTAAGAAACAGCTTAATGATGATGTTGGATAAATGCTGTGTGCATAAACATTAAACCTTCTATAAAGAAAAGCTATTGCAGTCACAGTGAAATGTCAAATGATAAAGGTTTTAGTGCAGAAGTCTCAGCATAAAAAGTATTCTTAATGTATGAACATTTAAGAAATTGATAAAAAATGGCTTAGAAAATTGAGCCCTCAGTCTTTGGCCAGACCCTCCTCTTCCAATTTGCTTCCTATAGGATTTTTCTGTTAAAAAAGGGAATGCCTACTTATTAGGATACAATAAAAGAAATGGAGGGGCGCCAGGGTGGCTCAGTCCGTTAAGCGTCCGACTGCAGCTTACTTAGGTCATGATCTCACGGTTCGTGGGTTCGAGCCCCGGGTCGGGGTCTGTGCTGACAGCTCAGAGCCTGGAACTTGTCTTCGGATTCTGTGTCTCCCTCTCTCTCTGACCCTCCCCTGCTCACGCTGTCTGTCTGTCTCTCTCTCTCAGAAATAAACAAAAACAAAAAGAAATGGACTAATGCAGCTTTGATGAATGCAAAAGGATTAAAAACAATTATTATTCATATTCTACTAGTGCAAAACACGGTCTCCACTAACAGACAAAACAGTGCCAAAGCAGGATGTGAGTTTTGTCTTTGCATTCTCAGTTCTGATGCCAAAATAAACTTCTATGAACGTTAAATGAATGAAATAATGGCTGCAAAGGGGGAAAGCCTGGACTGTCAAAATGTGTCACTTTCGCGGGAAAGTACCCGTTGCCTCTCAAAGTACCTACTTTGAATGACAGAAATGGATATATAATTCTGCCAATCTGGGATAGGAGCTTTCCTTTCCTGCTAACTTGCCTGAAGCCGGCCCCGGGAAGGGAAGGAACAAAGAGACAGCAGAATGCAACTGCACACCGTCTCGAGAGCGGCTCGCCCCGGCTGGGGGAACCTAGGAAAAACCAGCTACTTCCCAAGGCCGTGCCCAGTGTGTGCACCCAAGAGCTGGGAGAAGGCCGGGACGGCCGAAATCCTGTTCCTGGAGGCGGCGGTCTCCCCGCAGGCTCTGCCACGTCTCCAGGCTGGGCTGGGCCGGGCTAAGGTCAGCGGGCGCCTGCCGCCGGTCCCGCGCGACAGCCAGCGCTCTGAAAGGCGGAGCCAAACGGTCCGGGGCGCCAGTCTGGGTCCGCGCTCTGGAGCAAAGGGCCAGAACCGGACCCACAACACGCACCCAACAGGGCTGAGCGCGGGGGAGACTGCCAGCCTGGCCAAGCACGCTCGCACAGCCCACGCCCGGACTCGACGACACCGAGGCTCCGACGCGACCCAAACCATCCCTGGGCGCCGGCCCGCCCACCTGGCAGGGGCTGCGCCCGTTGGCGCTCGCATCTCACCCCGCCGCCCGCAAACACCCGCGTCACTGCCAAGCTGACGCTCACCTGGGGGCCCGAAGGAGCGTCTGCGTGGCAGGTGAAACGCGCGGGGACGTGAAGCTCCGAGAGCTAAGAGCAAGGCTCGGAGATAACCACGAAGACGCCGGGCAGAAGCTCAACGCCGCGCGACCCCGCCTCCAAGATGGCCACCGGAGGCGCACGCCCCGGCGTCTGCCACGTCGACCGCGCGTCGCCCCGCCCCTCGCGTCGCCCCGCCCCCCGAGAGCCTGCTCTCTCCTCTCCCCGCCCCGCCCGCTGGGAGCCCGGTCGCTCTTGGCCGGGCCCCGCCCCCCTCCGAGCCCAAGGACTCACGTCAAACCCGTCTGAGCACCTCCGACCTGAGGTGCTGCTGCCGCCCGAGACCGGCTCTAGTCCCCTCCAGAAACATTCTTTCTGTAGCTCGCTCATGCTTTCCACTCCACCACCTCACACGCGACAACGGCACCTGATTTACCAGGTGTAGCTCCCTTTATCCTGTGCCGTGGCTCCCCACGGGATGGAGAAGGGCCAGTCAAGGTCGTCTAGTTGAGTCCCCAGCTGCAGGCAGGACCAGGCTTCACAAACAGGGGACTTGCATGTTTACAAAGATTTCCAGATAACAGCGGTTGGTTGCATCTGGACAAAGAAATAGAGGGTGGGTAAAAGGTAGCAGCTACTCTTATTTTCTCCTCAACCACAGTACCCGTAATTATTTTTTATTTTTAAAGACTATCAAATTTCTTAACCTTATGTGCGTCACTTAAAACAGTACTTGAAACAGTTTTGGCTCAATAATGTACATTAAATAAATAAGCAAGTGTCATTCAATAGACGAAAATAAGGGATTTGAAATCAGGAGTCTGGGTTTGGGGCCGAGACTACCCTAATGCCAGTGGTGCAGCTGTGTCCTTGTACGGGTCACTCAGCCTCTTCCTGTCTCCCTATTTCCATCTGTAAGCTGAGAATAGTATCATCTGCCATCTCTAACAAAGGCAGGTAACAGTCCAAACGAGATGTATGAAAGCACTTTTTAAACTAAGTGTTAAACACATGAAAATTTGTTTTTGCTGTTTCCAAGTTCCTTTAGGAACCCATTTATGGATTTCACATTAATAGACCTCCTGGACTTGACAGCCATGAGCACTATAAAATGCCTCACTACAGAGTTAATGGTATTTAACTATGCCCTAACTTCAGATCATGCTTTGCCACTATGATGGGCTGTTCCTTCTGGTGGTGACTCTTGTCTCTTATCCACAGAGAATGTGTGTAGGTAGGTATCTAGGTTACTCTTCTAAAAGTGCTGTTTGGGGTGGGGCTGAAAGTAGTTACCATCTCCGTCCTGTTTGGTTGAAACTCTTAAGGGCTCTAAGGTTAGTCTGCTTCTTCATTCATTCAACAAATAGTCATTAGTGGCTGCAACGTACTGAGCATGAGTGCTAGAAATGTAGCATGAACAAGACAGGCAAGGTCCTGACACTTCATTTTCATGGGACACAGACGCCATGAACAGAAAAGAGACCATGATGGGCGCTTTGAAGAAAATCAATAAAGCAATATTTTATAGACGGTAATTGATCACTTAGGATGAATGAACAAAGCTTCTCTGAGGAGATGGGGTTTGAGCAGAGACCTGTAAGGAAGCAGGCCTGCGGTTACCTGGATGGAAGGAAGGGCACGCAAAGGCTCTAAGTGAGAGTGTTTAGCACCTTTCCAGAACAAGGAAACTGGAACTGGGAGGTAGAAATGAGGCCAGAGAGATAGTAGGGCCCAATTGTATCCAGCCCTGTAGGCTCTGGAAAGGCTTTTGGGTTATATTCTGGGAGAAATGAGGAGTGGAAGGTTTTTGAGCAGAGGACTCACCAGATTTGACTCGAGGGTTAAATCACTCTGCTTGCTGTGACTGTAGGGGCAACAAGGATGAATGCAGGGTGGCCAATAATAGCATGTGAGTTGGCTTGTATGGCTAATTGGGCAGGGCCCAGTGATGCATGGTCTATTTTGAAGGTTGAGTTGTTATGGTTTACTGATGGATTGGATATGAGCTGTTACCAGTTTCCTAAGACTGCCCAACAAACCACCACAACTGGTTAGATAAAAACAACATTTTTTTTCTCTCCCAGTTCTGGAGGCCAGAAGTCCAAAATCAAAGGTCAGCAAGGACTCTCCAAAGGCTCTGGGAGAGAACCCTTCCATGTGTGTCTAGCTTCTGGTGGACCTAGATGTTCCTGGACATGTACCAGCACAACGTCAGGCTCTACTTACCTTTGCATGGCCTTCTGTCTGGTGTCTCTGTGTCTCAAACCCCCCTCTACCTTTCCTGAGCATGCCTCCCATTGCACTGAGGGCCCATCCTAAATCCAGAGTGATGTCATCTCAAGATCCTTGGAGGGGGGGTCTACATCCAATTCCCAAATAAGCTCCCAGTCACAAGTTCCAGATACACCCATCTTTCGGGGAGGCCACTACTCTGCTCACTACATGGGCCATGACAGACAGGAATCAACCAAATAAGATTATGACCCTGAATTGCATTTAAAACATTTTACGTTTTACTTCCCACTTTCCATTTAAACTTCAAAAGAAGGTTGTGTGGCAGGTAATAGTATTGTTCCAATATTAGAAGTAAGAAAACTCTGAGAATTGTGGGTAGACCTGGACTTGAAACCCAGAATTCTTTAGCTGTACCACAACAGCTGGCCTGCTTTGGGGTGCCAGTAAAATGTGTTCCTAGATAGAGGGCAATGAGGGGCATTGATAGAAAATGGCAGCCTAATGACAGAACAAAGATCTGCTTAGTTTATTGAGTTACTACTAACAGATAGCACCAAGTTCTTCCTTCTAGGAGGCCTCTCATAAATATAAGAGAGTCCATTTTTCAGCCATAATGAGAGATACAGTGTTATAGTGGAAACTTGATTTTATCACACACGGGCAAAAGAACTATTTCCGACACGAGTTGAAGTTTTTCAGCTCACGTCAGAGTCTCTGCTTAAATATTCTTAAAATAGTCTATAAAATTATAATATTTATATGGATATTAAAGCATGTATTTTGTTTTTTTAATGTTTATTTATTATTTTTGAGAGACAGACAGAGACAGAGTGTAAGCAGGGCAGGGGCAGAGATAGAGAGAGACAGGCAGAATATGAAAAAGGCTCTAGGCTCTGAGCTGTCAGCACAGACCCCGACGTGGGTCTCAAACCCACAAACTGTGAGATCATGACCTGAGCCGAAGTCGGACGCTTAACTGACTGACCCCCCCAGGCACCCCTAAAGCCTGTATTTTGTGGTAGGAAGGAAAGGAGGCTGGAACTCTGGGCATCTGCGGCATAACCAGGACTGAAGGCAGAACTGAACCTGGTCAGAGATCCCATGGGCTGGACTGAGCAAATGCTCCATGAAGGCTAAGACCACGAAGGACACATTAGCATATGCATCAAGGGTACCGGCCAACACATAGAGACCAGGGACCCACACCCAAGCAAACAGAAGTTTCTTCAGCAAATCTGAAGTTTCTTCAGCAACTAGGAAAGAGAAGTATTGATCCAAACATTGCCTGGGACATGCTTGGACTGCATGATTACGCATTGTTTATCTGGAATTCAAACTGAGGAGTTAAGCAAGGTGTGACTGAGAGTCTGCAAGGCAATGTGGTATAGATTGGGACATAGTTCTTGGTATAGACAACCTGGATTTGAATCCTGGCTCCAGCACCTGCGATGTCAATAACTAGCCATGGGCATGTCACGTAAGCCCTGCCTTGATTTCTTCACCCATAAAATGAGAATATATTAACACCTACTTCGTGTTTTACCTGAGCATTAAATGACTCAGTATGTGTGAAGTGCTGGTGTGAACAGAGACTGACATAACATTCTCTAGATAAGTGTTAGCCCTTTAACTACGATATTATCTAAATAGTCCTCTGACGACGACTTTTAAATCAAAAAGAATTTTACTCAGATGAGTCTGAGTTGTAATTTCCAAATTGTATTTGTTTGTTTGCTGTCAACTAAAAATTTCCTTTAGTTATAAATAGGGTGGCCCTGCCTCTCAATATGCCCAGGACTCTCCCAATTTAGGAACACTGTCCTAGTATAATTACTAAAAGTTCCCACCTTTTGTTCTCAAAAGTCTTCCAGTTTGGACAATATGTCTTATGGTCATTCTAGTTACAGAGATATTAAGAAGTTACTCTTCTTAAAAAAAAAAAAAGTTTCTCTTCTTACACGTGAGCTACAGTATGAAAATTTCAATACCTGCCTCTCAACCACACACGTGTAATCACTGTAGCCACAGTCCATTTCTATTTGCTACAAAGAAGAACTTATCTTTATAAAATATATATATTTATAGAAACATTCTGGGGCACCTGGCTGATTCAGTCACTTAAGTGTCCGACTTGTGATTTTGGCTCAGGTCATAATCTCACAGTTGGTGGGATACAGGCTCAGTCAAACTCTGCACTGACAGCATGGAGCCTACTTGGAATTCTCTCTCTCCCTCTCTCTCTGCCTCTCTTCTACTCGCATGAATTCGTTCTCTCTCAAAATAAAGAAATAAACTTAAAAAAATCTATAATTCCTCATTGTCCGAATGAAAAAAAATCTTAAAAATTAAACTTAACCCTCACTTTCTAGATCCTTTCCTCTTCCTGCATCTTCCTCCGTAATTCCCAGCTGTTAGCTGCATACATCGGCCTTCTGGAAATCATCTGCCTTTGCTTCTATAAGCCCGCTACCTGAAATGCTTTTTTCCTCTTTCCATCTTCTGCTAATAGGTATGCCTTATTTTTGAAGGATCTGATCAAAGTTTACTTCCATTGTAAAACATGTCACATTGCATCTTTGTTGGTTGTACACGTCTATAGTCCTTGTTGACACAGGAGTTCCTTGACAGTAGTAACTATGTTTTTAGAATCTCAATACATTCGAAATTGTACTCTATGAACATTTTATTGTGTTGATTGGAATTTCCAATGAAGACAGAGGTGTAGTATACACGTCGCAAAAAGTCCTCATGACCCTTTTACTTCCCTTTGGTATGATTTCACTAAAAATAATCTTGTAGGAAAGAGAACAATATGCCTCCTTTGGCAACTTTGATTTTACTTTGAAAAAGGAACCAGGCAACAAGAGTGAGTCCT